GAAAAAGAAATAAATAAATAAAATATATATATATATAATCTTAGCAAATTCAATAGGGACCTCACACGGTCGTGCTCGGGCCCTAAATATAATCCGAGCAAATTCAATAGGGACCTCACACGGTCGTGCTCGGCCCTAATAATCCGAGCAAATTCAATAGGGACCTCGCACGGTCGTGCTCGGGCCCTAAATATTAAAAAATTAAAAGTAGCTTAGATGTAACTAAGCTACATTTGCCACGTTGCTGTAGCTTAGCATGCTACATTTCACTGGGGGGTCTCTTCTGTGTAGTGAAGCTTTAATGTAGAGTAGCTAGTAGCTTAGCTCACTACGTTTTCCAAGTAGCTTGCCCAACACTGAATATCTCACTACCCAAAACATGTATTTTTACATTTGTGTTGTGTAAAATCCATAGATTAAAAGGTAAAATCATATCCACAAAATTACTGTGTGATTTGCAAATACCCACAATTTAATCTGTACAAAGATATTTTTATTTCACATCCAAAGTGTTAGTTACGCATTTGTGGATTACTTCCTGTCAATTTGCAGGTCACGTGACATTTGTAACTTCACACACAGCAATTTACTGTGTACACCAGCACTTGTACATAAAAGTTTTTTTTCTATTTACAGATCTCAGCGGGACAGAGTGGACGAAATTCCACAAATGTGTAAAAACAGTTTTGTGTGTAGAAATGGATCCACAAATGCGGAAATAACACTTTGTACGACATAAAAAGAGCTTTATACAGATTAAATTGTGGGTATTTGCAAATCACACTGTATTTTTGTGGATATGATTTTACCTTTTATATATAGCAGTGTTTCCCATTAATTAACAAGACCATGGTGGCCCGCCATAGTCTAATTTTCTCCGTCATAGTTTCAAAATAATCTCATAATTACATTTCAGACCTCTAAAGTTGCGCCGTTATTCTGCCTTTTTGTAAGCTCACACGCACACTTTGGCATTCGACTCGAGACAACCACTTTTATTCTTAGTTAACGGCCTTTTTCAGAAGAAGAAGAATCAGAAGGAGCTTTATTGCCAAGTAGTGTTTTACACATATGAGGAATTTGCTGTGGTGATAAGGTGCTACATGTAGACAAACATACAGTCAACAACATAAATAAATGTAGAAATATATAAATATGAAATGGAAGAACAACGTTGCAGATATATACATGTGCGTTATTCTGGGTCTGTGCCGTGCAGAAGTAATGCAACGGAAGAGAATATTGTGTACATATAAATATATAAACTGACAACATAAAAATATACAACAACAAAGATCAACAATCAACAACAAATATGTGCGACATGCCAGGTCTGTGCCCGATACGAGATGAAACAGTATTTACATGTGCAGAGACATTTATATAATTTGCAAGGGGGGAGTGTCAGTAGGGGACCCGGGCCTTGTTAATGAGGCTAGTTGCAGACGGGAAAAAACTGTTTTTGTGGCGAGAGGTTTTGGTCCTGATGGACCGCAGCCTCCTGCCAGAGGGGAGAATCTGAAACAGTTTGGGTCCGGTGTGGGAGGGGTCAGCTGCAATCTTTCCTGCTCGCCTCAGAGTCCTCAAGGCGTACAGGTCCAGAAGAGAAGGAGCAGCCAATCACCTTCTCTGCAGAGTGAATGATACTGCCTGCCCTTGTCCCTGGTACTGAACCCTGCAGTTTTGGAGTTCACTTGCTGCCTAATAAATCCCACCCACTGACAGGTGCATTGATAACGAGATAATCTTCTAATAATTCACGTCACCTGTCAGTGGTCATAATGTTGGCTGATTGGCGTATAATTTAAATGCAGATTATTGTCTGTATTTCTGGTTTCTTCTTCTGCATAGAAAGCAGCTCTGTGGACCTGGTCCAAGCTAGAGCATTTCCAATGTGTGGAGGATTGCAGAGGGTTTAAAGAGCTTTTATAACTCCTACTGGTATAACATGATTTCCAGCTTTGTCTGACACATGATCCTGCACTGGTGCAAAGTTTTAAGTTACAAAAAAACCCCTATGATCTAAATGCAGTTAGTTTGTCCTTGTGAGTGATGGTACCTATCAAATAAGCAAACTCAGCACTCTGGGTTTAAATACAACACTCTGCAACTGGATATTGGACTTCCTCACAGACAGACCACAGTTAGTTCGGATGATATTTCTTGAGGAAGCTTAAGAAGGCCAAATTCCTGCGCCAAGTTCATGTCCACTTGTACAGAGGAGCAATAGAAAGCATCCTGACTGGAAACATCAGTAATATGGGATGTGCACGGCCCAGGACCGGAGGGCTCTGCAGCGGGTGATTAAACTTGCTCAGAAGATCATAGGTACCCATCTCCTGAGCATCAGTGATATCGGTGAGGTGAGGTGACCTGCAGAACCCAAAGGATACTAAAGGACAGTACCCACCCAGCCACAGCCTTTTCACCCTGCTGCATTCTGGAAAGAGATATAGAAGTTTCTGCTTCCACACCACCAGACTGCAGAGCAGCTTTTTCCCCCAAGCTATCAGACTCTTAAATTCTAATTCATCCTCAGCACTGCTCCATTGGTTATACATTATTTCTGTTTACCATACCAGGGATTATTTATTTTTAGGCCCCGAGCACGAAACATGCGAGGTCCCTATTGAAACTGAAGGAATTATTTTTAGGCCCCGAGCACGAAACATGCGAGGTCCCTATTGAAACTGAAGGAATTATTTTTAGGGCCCGAGCACGAACCGTGTGTACAAAAAAGCTTCTTGGAGCCATTGCCTAAACCCAACAGGAAGTCGACCATTTTGGATTTGGTCATTGTTGGCGATTTACACACTTTGTACTTTAACAAACTCCTCCTAGGGAATTAATCCAATCAACTTAAAATTTTCGCTGTGCAGTCTAAACCCATTGGCGATTAAAAGTTGTACAAACAGTTATTACTAGTCGACCAGTTTGCCCGTGGCGTGGCTTCAAAAATCGATGATTTGTCATAAAACAGGAAGTTGTTGTAACTTCAGTCTGCATGCTCACATCTGCACCAAATTTGGAATGTACTGTAAAGGTCCCACCCTGAACACAGCCACATGCAAATATTCACTCAAAGTCACAGCGCCACCTGCTGGCAGCAGGAAATGACACGTTCTGTGCTGTAATGTACTACTCCTAGCAGGTTGGAGTTTTCGTGGAACGGCGTGCCCGTGGCATGGCATCTAAAATCGATGATTCGCCATGAAACAGGAACTTGTTGTACCTTGACTGTACATGCTCAGATCTGCACCAAACTTACGTGCTCGAGTCAGTCACGCTGAGCACATCTACATGCCTATAGTCAGTTATAGTCATAGCGGCAAGTTCTATGTAGCGCCACAAAGGGGACACAGGAAGTGATGACTAACAAATTTATGCAGCGTGGCAAATTCACAGCAGAGGCAGAGCTCCATAATCTGCAACACGGCCTTGATGCGCTACATGTGCGAGGGCCCGCCCAACACTGCTTGCAGCTTTAATTATAATTGATTCTGTATGAATATATATTTTCTGTTATGTAGTAGAAGAGAGTTACAAAACTCAATTTCACTCTATAACTTGTTATATATTGTGACAATAAACCTACCTACCTACCTCATCCTCAGTATCTTTCAGCACAATGCACCATTAAAATGCAAGATACATGGTAAACATGATTAGCATACAGTAATAGCAGACTTCCCAGAATTCGTGGCTTTTGAGTTCTCCAGAACCATATTGAAACTTGCTGTGGAATACAATACTAACTATAATGAATACCACAAAGGTTGCAGCTATCAATTATTTTAGTAATCAGATATGAAATACTTTTGCTTTGCACCCCCGGTAACGTTACCTGGATCAGCTGTGTATCTCATATCATTGTATTACCCAAACTCTCGGACTAACCAGTCAGAGAACCATAATAACAAACACAAGTTTATACATTTACAGCTAAGAATTTTGCCTTACCTTTGCTACCCTTCATCTTAACTAGAAATCATAATTTCCGTTAAATGTTAATGTAATGTTACCATTTCCTTGTTTCGGGTCCGCTCTGTGGACGCGATGCATAGACTGGATGATTTCTGCTATGTTGCTGAAGCATTGTCGTTATGCTGTTGTGGTAGGCTAGTTCTGGTAGATACACTGTACATAGTTCTTCTTTTAGCTTGAAATGATCCCATACTGTGGACACTTTCTGTCTTTTTTTTCTGGCCTGTCTCATCTCTTCGTCCCTCACTGTTTTCTTCCTCCACTTTGCAGTCTGCCAATCTCGTTGTCTTCACTTGTCCACAGCGTAAGCACGTTGTGCAACAGTAATAACGCCAAACAATGTGCTGTATATACCTATATGAGTTAAACGAAGCATCAATGCAAATTTTTTGATGATAATGAATCATTTCAGCCCTAGTGTCCAAGTCAGCCCCTGCCCCCATAAACTTTTGAGTTAACAGATTCACTGGGAGTGGCATCTCATGTTGTCTGTGTTGTGGTACAAAGGTATTGTGTCAAATTAAATGGAAAGCGAGTCTGACTTAATGGTTGTTGAACCAGACGAACAATGTTTTATAACAGATATGGGTCTTCTTTGCAAGTCATTGATGATTTCAAGAGATGCTGCTGCAACTCTGTAGAGACCGCTTTGTACATAAATTCCTGGAGCAATCAAATTAACGATGCATACTCCACATCTGTACCTCCACATTCTGAACTACTGATGTAGGATTAAAAAAGCCACTCGCTCATGAACGGACATCGCTGGTTAAAGACAAATCCTACATGCACCCACAATACATTTGCCAGGGACACTTCACCAGCCTGTGGAATAATTATTGTTAATTATTATTATGGAATGTAAAACCTGTATAGTAGTACTTTAGTGCAAGAAGAGATTACCACCACCCATAGAGGTTGACATATGGTAGGTAGTAGTAAGGACTCTAGTTGTCCTTAGTTGATATAAACCTGGATGTAATAATCATCATTATACTGTCAATGCTTTTTCACAGTTACCTAGCTGACCAGTGCTGGAATGGAGGCTTTATCTACATGATCATGCTACGACGGGTCAAGCGAAAGGCTCCTCTCCCTCCCTGTGATGTAAATGGCAGTGTCAGTACCCCTATCAGCAATGATAGCTGCGAAGACCGGCAGCAGGGCAGAGCTGCCTCTGAGCCCTCTGAAGGCTTGGTCAACTGCAAACGCACGCGCAAGTTTGGTGTCATATCACGCTCGTCCTTTAACCGAGACAACAGGGGCAATACGGTCTCAGACCTTCAGAGCTGTCTTCCAGGAGATGACTCAAGTTCCATTGAGGGAAGCCCAGACACCTTTCCTCAGGTGAAGACTGGTCCCCAGCATCTACACAGTGGAGGCACTGCCACCCTGCCTGCCAGATTTCACAGTCAGCTGTCAGAAGGCAAAATGGATTCTTTCAGCAGTGAATCTTCAATCCAGGTAAGACACATACAGAGCTCTAATTTAATACGCAATTACAGGGGACAAGTGAGGGGTCATACTACTCACTCTCTCACTCACACCTTCATTCTGAAGACAAAGGATTTTATCCAGAATTGGGACAAAAGATTTCAAGCAAAGAAAATTAAATGCTGAATGCAAATTTTCATATTTATTTGTGTATTTTGTTAAATTTTCTATCTATTTCTTAATATCTTGAAATGTATATCTGGGATCTAGGGCAGAATGCTTCGATGCTTCGATGGGCGGAGCCTTATTCGACTGTCAATCTAACAGTTGCAGCTTTGCAGCAAAACAAGGATCGTACCATTTTAGCAATATGGTGGTGCTCAATGTCTGAACTACCAGTTTTCTCCCAATAAGTTAATATACAGCTGATTACAATATACATTTCAACGTTTAATGCTGTAAATAAATATGTTAAAAGAATAAACTTTCAATAAATGTTGTTTCAAAAAAAGTGCGTAAATAAATTCAAAATTGTAACCCTAACCCTGGATTGTAGGCGTGTGCGTGTGTGGTGACGTAGGAAGAGGAACACTTGCTGAAGAGACTGAGCCCCAGCTTCACTGGTGTTATGCCGAGTTGTCCGCACCTCGTGGGACTTGCGGATAATTTTACGGTGATGAACCACACAAACAATATTTTATCGGATTTAAATAGCCGGCTATTTGAAATAGACCCGCGAGGAACCGCGATATGCATGCAGTTGTCAGCAGCACGGCATGCACGCAAAACTCACACAAGACCAGTGAATGGCAGGCAGAGAGTCTTCAAAAAGCCTCAGTTTAGCTGGAAATTTACAGTGTAAGTTGAATGAATAGAGAGTTGCAGTACTGCAGCTTCTCAAGATTAAAGCGGAGCTACCGTGTGTAACCCCCTCCCGCATTCACCATCGCCCGCACAAAAACACACAAGATTCGACATATCAGTCGACTATAGGCAGGACTTGACGATTGATGAAAAGGATTTCTAATTCTGTTTGTGATAAAGTTAAACAATATGCATCCAGTCAAGATAAAGCATCAGCATATAAAACAGAAGTATCACTGGATCTTCAGAGTCAGTATTCATCCTCCTTGGGACACTGCATCTGAAGCGGACTGGGGATCTCATTTTTCAGCTATTGATATGAACAGTTTTTGCTTTAACTATGCATACTCTTATTTCTACGCACAGAATCTAATCGATCAGTTTAGTGTTTTGCTTGAGAAAGTGAGCACATTTACAACCACACCTGACTGACAAACCCTTAGCAGTACACAGGTACAATCACAGACAAAATGATTCCTAAATTACTTTCCAAGTTGTAGTAGGATATAGCTTTAAATGTGTTTAATTTGAAAACAAGGTAATTATTCTTTCAGAGTGAAATTTTGCCATTAATGCCTCTAGTTGTTTCTCTTGTCTCTAATCCAGAGGACCTAATGAATTTCAGCTGTTATCAATGTGCATTAACAATGAACCAATGTGTTCCCTATCAGATATTTTAATTGATTTAACTAAGCTGGTAAAAAGTCAAACAATTATGAATATAAATCGGTATTGGTGTGTAGATGTCTGCGGGGTGGGACAGTTCAAGGACGTAAAGTTTGTTTCAGATGTGAGCATGTACACTGAACAATAATGTACCCAAACAATAAAAAATTCCTTTTATATTTCCCTGCCTTGTTGTTTATGTGTACATACAGAGGAAGAATGTGAGAACAGCACACATTTCATCGTTACTGTGTGTTAGAGCATGGGAGAACACTGGATACTTTTAATACAGCCACACCCCTAATACTGTGTAACTATAACAAGTAGAGAACAGAAGAAAAAGATGTTCTTTCTTTACAACTGTCTGCATAGCTTATTCATATTGTGTAATGATGAAAATAAATAGGCCTACTAGGCTCCTCTCTACTTTGACATTTAAGATTAGCTTGTTTAATCCACCTCATACACATGTGACTTACTGTACAACTTGAGAAAGGTGAGTTGTTTTCTGCTCCAGCCTGCCTAAAAGAAAGCGTTTTGGGATAAATGGACTTTATTAGCTGCTGCAGTGCAGGATGAACTCAGAATAGGACCCATTTCTCACCTTATTATTCTAAATCATGCAACAAAGAAGAGAAATGCATAATAAATCCTGGGACAAAATCTGTCCAGCATGTAGTCTGATGAACAAGACTTGTGTTATAGCTGACTTGGGCAGTGAAATGTTAAATTTTTAAATTCATGTGGTCATAGTTGTCCACAACTCAAATCAGAATATAAGAAGAAATGTTTATTACCACCTCAAGAAGGCTTCCTATCAGAAAGGTAGGAAGGTATTTCAAATGTACAACTGCAGTACTTAAATCTAAGTAAAGTAATTTCCCTGACATTTTTGTGTTACTTTACTTTAAAGACCCATAAGAGGTTTATACTTCCTGTGAGTATAATCCAATCAATCTTATTTTCATACTGTATATCCGTTGGTAATTTGATAAATTGTGTTGTATGTCGTGCTCGCATCGTGTACTACTGAGACTTCATTGCCCTCTTCAGAGAAGACTGACTGCAACGTGCGTCTTTGTAAAGAGAGAAACGGACAGAAAAAGTCTCTAACTCTGCCTGTCAGCTCGCTCTGCTCCGTTAAAACTGAATTTACCATACAGAATTGAATACGAGTGCACTCCAGATTTAGCTGCAGCCAGCTGACCGTGTGCTTCTCCTAACCGCAGTTCTGTGTCCATGCATGCAGCAAACTGAAAGCACTGTCTGTCGGTGCGTCTACGTGAAAAGAGAAGGAAGACAGGCTGGTAGTATTGTCTTCAGAGTGTTAAATACCTCAGCGCACTGAAGGAAGCCATCTGACTGTGTGAGGGGCAAGATCGTTGATGTCTGCAGGCAGGTAGACCTAGAGCTCTCCTGTATGGCTGGTCCACCAATAGCAGAGAAGATGGACTTATTTTTTGTGTATTTAATTGGATGTATTTATTTATTGAGCATTTATTTATTTCTGTATTTATTTCTGACTGTGTCAGGATCGGTCCTCCATAGCGGGGTGGGAGAGTATCAAGCACGTAAAGTTTGGTTCAGATGTGAGCATGTACACGAAGTTACAACAACTTCCTGTGTCATGGCGAAGACTGATCTTTGACGCCACGTCACGGACACGCCCATTGACGAAACTCGCAAATAGCACAACTTTTCATCTTCAATGCCTTAGAAGGACAGCACAAATTTGAAGTCGGTCGGACTAAATCCTAGGAGGAGTTCGTTAAAGTACGAAGTGTTAAATTCATCCAAAATTTGACGTAAAATTCAAAAAGGCCGACTTCCTGTTGATTTAGGGCATCGCTCCAAGAGGCTTTTTTATGCGTCTGGACAAGATACACGTACCACAGAAAATTTGTGCACGTAGGTGAAACGTGCGGCGGGGGCTGCTTCGTTAAAAGTCACTTCTGTTGCCAGCAGGTGGCGCTATGACTGTGG